TGTATAATGCGATAGGCCACAAATTGAGTTAAGGTTAAGCAAGTTTTGTGAGCTTTGAGGGAATAAGACGTGAAAAAGTTGAGAGGTAATTTCATTCCAAGTGTGAAAAAAAAGGCCAGTCTAAATGATGTATAATGGTCCATAAATATTGACAATAATCGGGAATGAGGATAGCAATAACAACAAAACATCAGACATGTTGTTCTGAAGCTTTCTTTTACGATACGATATATGTTTTACAACTGGGCGGCAAGTGTACTTATTTGATAGGTTTTGTCAGTGTTGAGTCCTTTTTTCCAGCCCATGGACTCATGCATGCCCTGGGGCAGAAAAGTAAGTTGTATAAATCAACCTATGTTGAACACAATAGAGAATATCGACAATCACATATGCCTTATACGATAACGTTAACGTCAATGGATGAACTGACACTCACTGACAATAAATATAAGTATCTTGCTTAAGCCTATTGTTTTTGTATTAGGTAAAATTTACCTTTACCATTTAATGTCAAATGAGGTTAATATTAACACTTACATATGCGGCATTGTTATTGCCACAACTCTCTAATATGACGATCACAGAAACTATACTAAGTGACATATAAATCCGAACACCCAGTTTAAATGGTTTTATTTTAATAAAATTTTGTATAAGTACTTAATGAAGCATAATAAGTAAATGATAAAAATTTCAAAATGATTGCACTGCTTTAAAGCCCTTTGACCTTTAATAATGTGTGGATGCACCCTGATGTGCTACGCATTCTCCAACGCGCCTAGGCATGCTTCTGATCAGGTGGTCAATATCCTCCTGTGGTATCTCATTCCAGGCAACCACCAACTCCTCTCGAAGTGCTTCTAGAGTCTGAGGAGGACCTCTGATGAAGATTAAAGGTGACCTGGAACCATAAGCTATAGCACCCCAAACCATAACTCCAACAGTGTGATGAACATGTCTTTCAACAAAAAACTGTGGATTCCTCCTTTCACCACGTCGTCTTCTAACCCTGGCACGACCATCGTGCATGCTTAAACAAAATCAAGACTCGTCACTAAAGACAATACTGTTCCATTCCTGATCCCAGAGTGACCGTTGTCTGCACCACTCAAGGCGATTACGTGGGTGATCTCGAGTTAAAGGGAGGACCCAGTGTGGCCGGTATGAAAACAAGCCAAAACTTCTCATTCGTCGGTAAACACTTCGCATGCCAATAGGTCTTCCGTGTTCTGCAAACCATTCATTTGCAATGGACCTGGTAGTGGAGAAACGGTCCCTTAAGGCCAATAATCTTAGGCGGCGATCTTCACGGTCTGTTGTTCTACGGCGGCGTCCAGTGCCCCTTGCTCTTTGCGTACGGCCTTCTCGAAGCCATGCCTGACAACACCTAACCACAGTGTCTATACTTCTTTGCACTCTAACTGCAATTGCCCGAAAAGAAAGTCCAGCTTCCCGAAGTCCCACTATACGGCCCCTATCAAACTCACTAAGTTGACGAAATCGTACAGGTCTCCGTACTCTAGGCATCGTAACCGATCGTAAAGGATGTCAAGAACCAAAATCCGCCAACGTTGATTCTTTACTGCGGCTGAAATATTCATTTTTAGAGCATTAGTGAATTAAAAGAAAGCAGTATAAAAATCGGAATGTCCAACTGATAAGGCTGAAAATTTTTTCACTTGTTATTTACAGTAAGATAAATACATTCACCAACTTTTATTAAAATAAAACCATTTAAACTGGGTGTTCGGATTTATATGTCACTTAGTATATCTTTATTACTAGACAATGATGCAACTACCAGTGTACTGTCGATTTATCTTTTTATTTAATTTTTTTTATTATTGTTGGTCGTAGATATTATGTTATGTATCTGTCATAATGAGCGTTTATATGTCCCTTGACGTGTTATTGCTCGTGGCATTGGCCTCACATTTCACGACACGCGTCATAACCGGGCTCTTTACGCTCTAGATATATAGATACAACAAACTATTCTCATTCCAAAATTAGTGGGAACGCGGGGTAGAATGTAAACACAAATAAATTACAGTTAACGTTTACTACTTTTTCTGATCTATCAGAGTAATATAGATTCGCCTCATATTAATAAAATAATATACTAACAACCTAAGCGTATATAGATTACTATCAATTTTTCTATAAGATAAAATTTTCTACTAAAATATGTAGTATGTTTTTTACCTATTATCAAGTATACCATTTTGAAGTGAATCCATATTCTTCTTTACTTCCACGGGTAAGTATGGAAAATACCTTTTCATATAATATCTCATATCTTCATCCTAAAAATGTCACTTTCATCAGTCTGTCTCTTTGCCATTTTGCCAATGCGTAGCCTCAGCAAGCATTGTAACTATTTTATTGGAAAGGGAGTGATGCCATAAATCAACATACTACTACATCTTCCATTGAAATTGCTGCAATGGTTACTGAAGTTACGCAGTGACAAAATTCAGTCAGATCTTCATAATGAAAAAGTCACAAATTATAAAAAATCTTACATTTTCCACACTTGCTCGCGGTAGTGAAAATGGATTTACTTTAAAATAGCAGTTTCTTAATCATCACGTGAACCCATATAAGAAATATAAGTATGGTTAAGCACCATTTCAGCGATACAGTTTGATCATGCGATATTACAATGACAGTGACATGATACAATACTCCGACAACTTGCAGGATCAGGGGGATGTAACCTACTAAACTTTGTGACCTCCATGTCTAGGGCGCCATCTAAAAAAAGCTATCTATACTAATCGAGTTGAAAACGCAAATTGGTATAACTGTTTGGAATGTCAAGAGCATTATTGCGAGAAAGAAATGTAACACTTCCACTTATGAGTAGTTTCGTCAATCGCTGTACTACTGACTCCTGCGTACGGTAGCAGAAAACCCAGTTTGTCGGCATCTCTGAGTGACAGTGTCCATTTCTAAGAAGCCGGACAAGGTTGTCCACCACATAGGCATCCCATTATCATCCCGGGGAGTACTAAGAGTACATACCCGCCATGCTACCAGCATTGACATACAATGCAAAAGTTGCATAAACTAAACACAGGATCACAGAAGAAGAAACATGAGAAGTCGGAAAGTTGGCCGTCACTAACGCCTACAGCTGGAAGCGACAGTGGTAGGAAATGTTGGATGTCCAGAATTGAAATAACAATGTTCAAACGATACTTCTGTAGGATTATATACCTAGGCGCATGTAACATTGAAACCGATTGCAAATATGAATAATATAACAGCAACGAGTTAAGTGTTCATATAAAACTAGCACGTTTTACGTGTTATTCCAGTAAAAGATCTCGCTGAATGCTGAGGTGAAGTTTTCGGGCAATTTTCAGATTCTCAAAAACAAGCGTTAATGAAACATTTCCCTTAAGAAGTAATTTAAAATAATAAAAAGTGTGAAAAGGTGTATATCGTTTCCTGCAAAGAAATTATTGCTTATGGATGCTTAGTTAGGTTCGCTTTCCTTAGATTATGCCTCCACAGCTGGTTATGAAACGTTTTCGAGAGAGTATTATCTGTAGTGTACTAATAGGTTTTGCATAGGACAATGTGTAATGCGGAGCATTGCATTGGAAACCAATTAATAAAAATCAGTCACATTTTACAAAACTGTGAACAGAGATACTTTGGTTTTAATTGTGTTTTACTGCATGGAGAGCTATAATCTTGACTAATAGCTATCAGTGTATGAGTGCTTGAAACCTGAAACCTCTCATTATGAATTTTAGAAAATAAAAGGTGTATATGTTTGTATACACAATCTGATGATAATATTTACAACAGATAGTACTGATAGTAGTTAAATATAGAATAAGACTTTAGATTAGATCCTATAATATCAGTCCGCTTCTTGGTCCATTTTTCTAGACTGTCATCATTTACATTCTGCTCTCTATCTGATTTTCCAGTTGATTTCATAGAAAAAAATTTGCATAAACATAAGTTGAACAATAAAATACTTTTTAAGAAATCTTAGAGTAGTTGTCAGGTTTGGAAATCGGTTTTTTAACTGTGATGTTATATTAGCTTCCATTGGATTGAGCGAAGGAACCATATTTTTGATGACCAGGAAAAGACTATGTAGTGGAAAAATAGGTCATTCCAAATGTCTGTCATCCACTTTTTAGGAGAATATTGTCATAGATTCATGGGTCACGCGAACCTCACAGCACCGCCATTACATTCTCAAAACGTATAAAATGTCCACACCAGAAACTCGAAGCTCAATCATCAGTGCAAATAAAACTAATTAAAAGATTTTCCTCATAAAAACGTGTTGAGCTGGAGAGTCTCGTGAGAGAGCTTAACAAGCTTATTGACTGGAAGTGATGACGTACCAAGCAGAGTAACAGGTTTAGAAACGCTAAAGTCCGTTCACTCAGGGAACGGTCATGACACAATTACATTTTTTGGGAATTAAGCGCTTTAACTCGGAAGCTTTACATGAGAAACTAATGTATACATTGTTACAAAGAGCTTTGCGGCTTTGAGTCGATATTTGATGGTCAAAACTTGTCTGCGAAGATTCTGTTGTTCTCTAACTGAACGGACTCTAGGCACATATTATATTCCGTATCAATAATTGGACGTATGATTTTATTTACATGGTGGTTGGTGGTGATTCAGAGGTGCATAAACTATGGATTATATACAGGACACATATTGGTTTATCAAAATGTTATGAAATAAATTATTCGACATAGATGACCGAAACGTCTTTTATTCAAAATGGCCATCGATTCGTTATGTTTATCTGTATCATGTTGATATAGTGCTGCATATGTTTTTGATATCATCCATTTGCGAAAAACTAACGGGACAAAGATTATTCTGGATCGGTCAAGATGAAAAAATGAACACCTGGACACAACCATATTCATCTCGCTGTCTCAATCGTTAACGTGCAAAGACACAAATTCAAGTGGACACTGAGATAATTGTCACAAAGAAAATGTACTTACATCGTAGTGAAACTGCCCCCTTTCAGATAATTGCTGTCCAAGCAAGAGTATTCGATTGACGCATCAGAAATAGCATCAGTCCGGGGTAAATATCGTTTGCGAACGCACATATCTCACAAAGCACACTGCGATTTGTCTGTGAACATATCGGCACGTCAAGGCGTATGAAAATTATGTGGAAACTCGGTTTTCCAGTGCGGCACAATTTTTCCGTACACCTGCTGCCGTGATTTTTCCGATTAGCGTTCAGGCCTCTCTCTGTCTACCATATTAAGGGGTAGTGCGCATGCCGGAGCAGTCCGGGGTTGTTAAGCATTGCCGTACAAAAGGGGAGGAACGAGCGAAGAAAAATGAAAGAAGTTTCGAATGGTTTTGGAAATATAAACAGAATGCGCACCGAGGTGTATACATTTTATGTCCATTCCACATGTATTGTAGCGAAAGCTAAGGTGTATTTCAAGAGTCGATGAAACAGATAATGTTGAAGAGGATGTGGGATATCACTACCGGTTTAAATGTCGAATAGTATTAAAATAATGGTAATTCTTGATTATCCAGGAGATATAATAATATACATTGGATTCGTCAGGTCAGATTTAAATACTGATCAACATAGAATTTATATGAATATAAACTCAGACACACTGTACAAACAGCTATCTAACAAAAACATTTTAAACATGTTTTGAACTTCTTCAATGAGGCACATAATTTTACTTCATTGGACAACGTATTGTATATTCTTCGTCCTAAGACAATAAGCGCCTTCGTTCCTTAAAGATATTTTGCAAATCATTTGTAATGAATGAATGAAGTTATCTATATATATCTATATCGTATGTGTTGGACCAACACCGGTCATACACCTTACCACTCTTTTTTGGCTCAAGAACACTTGACATGAGTTGCTAGTCAGACCCCAAAAGCACAAGACGTATCTCAGCATGGGGCCTTGTGCGTAGTGAAGTGTAATTAACTGGTCTCCTCTCAAGGTTGTTCGGGAGTTTTTGAAAATGTAGGACTGTGAATTCAAATTAGAAACCAAATAGCTACATTGACCTTTAATGCTGAGACACTCATCCCTACAAGCCAATTTAGTTTCTTCTAATATATTCAGTACAGTGTTGTTCATTTGAAAATTTAATGGTGATAAATGTCATAAGTGATGTGTTTTCCAGGTTCAAGTGGAGTTGATGGTCAAAAAGCTCTTTATGGGTGCAGCTCAGGAGATGCCCATTCGCCAAATAATCATCAGCATATCCCTTTGTCCTTTAAGAATAGAAACTAAAAGATTAATGTTTCCTTGAGCGCATTTTCAATTACCTAGGTGTGAGCGTTTCTATTTTTATAAGACAACCTATGTATTGTAATGCATTATATTCGTCATTTTACTTTTCATTGCAATATCTTATAATATCACACAAAAAAATATTATTTGTATACAAACTGATATCAATGTTCTATGGAATGTATCTTAATCATCTAAGAAATTCAAGATATATAAATCCTTGTATTTCAAAATAGTTAAAAGTTGAATATCAAATTTACGTAAAGTTAGTTCCGCAAGAAGATTTGAAATGCGTAGGTTGAAATTTAGCAATAAATAATACGTTGACTGCAAACTATGAGTTATTTCGCAGGTTGTTTATCTGCCCAAGACGCCAACTACGAGTTAACTCGTAGGTTATTTACCTGCTCAGGACGCCAAATACGAGTTATCTCATAGCCTCTCTATGATGCATACATTAAATTGGCTTCTGGAACCGAAACCCTTCAAAGTTCCATGGCAGTCAACGTGTGTTAACATTTAGAACGGCTGATGGAATTACTCCCAAAACCAAGCATCTAAGACGTGATGAACCACCGGCACCACCTATGGAAGAATGCAACAGAAACCTATAGTATAAGATATTTGATCCATAGAAGCTATAAATGACCTCCACTCACACCTAAATATGATCATTAAGTGAATGACAGCTAGTCCTAAGCTAACATCTTTACATAATGTCATTGAACATCGCAATAATGCCACTTTCAGATCCTACGCCATAAGGAAATTCTAAAATGAGATATGTATTCCTAATTTTATATGACATGTACATCACGGAAAAACATATGTCATTTCCGTCGGTCTGTCTGTCCGCTAAGCCTTGGCCTGTCTTTAACTTGGCAAGTACTGCTCGGATTTGGATGAAATTTTCACACAAGCCACGGACGAGAAGCTTCATAGTTATTGAAAATCGATCCAGCGGTGGCGAACAAAGAGTCAAAAAACGAAAAAAGAAATAAAAGACGCTTAAGCTTCGTTTCTTGACGTTTCATAGAATCCTGATCATTTTTAAAAAAAGTTTGAGGAGTACAAAATTAAAGGGTAGGGTGGTAATAGGATGGGGGAGGGCTTACCTCAATTTTTTGATGTTAGTATGCTTTTACGCCCCGAACTTTGGTGATTCTGTGCATCTATTAGCCATATTTCTCACATCATTAGTTTTCCCATACATTTGCAGTTAAGAATGATAGAGAAATGTTTTCGATATGCGTTTCCTTCTGCTATCTGGGTTTAGCGCCTGATATAACGACCTTGATTGTTCTGTTGATACTGCGGCGGTGTTTCGATGGGTCCTGCCGCGTTCAACGATTTGGGTGCTTAAGTTACGTAATGCGGGTGCGGATATTAATGGCAATGGTATGTTTAGCTTAATGCATCGTGTGATCGAAGGCATCTGAGTTTTTATTTTTTGTCAAGTGAGATACAGGAACAGAGAGGGAGAGTACCGTCGGAGCTACCACCCCTTGAAGGACCGTAAGACATATTCTCTACCATGCCCTAACGCTATATACATGCCATAATAATAATCGGCCTTTGTTGTTCTTATCCCCCTAAACTGAATAATTCGAGTATTTTTGGTCTCTAACACTTCCTACCGGTGTCAGTTTATTAACAAACAGAATAGAATCATGTAAATTAACAACGAAGATATCTGAAAGAATATTTTAACGGATAGCAGCTGTTCTGAAAAGGTGACTATGGGTGGCCAGTAAGAGAATTCAAAACTAATGACGTTTTTATGAAATCGCTTCCTTGAATATTCTAAATTTCATACACAATATCAAATGTGTAGGTGATACAATAGATTTTTTTGAATTCAGGTACGCGGTTTAATTGATTCCATGATGCCTCAATAAGAAAGCTACCTTAGCAAAAAGTTTTGTGGAGTTAGAGTAAAACATCTTGGGCCACGAAACAGATTGCCAGGATCCTTATCGGTAATTTTTGTTAACGACATTTCTATATAATAATAATAATAATAATAATAATAATAATAATAATAATAATAATAATAATAATAACATGCCTTTATTCGATTCTTTAACTGGCGGAGTGTTACCTTAAAATATTTTTCAACTCAGCCATAAAATAAAATTACAAACATGAATAAGAATAGTGTCATAAAATAATGAATACATGTGATTTATGATAGTTGCTTAATAATGTTTAAATCTATAAAAGTATATATGATTAAATTTTAAGTAATTTAATATAAAATCATGATGTCCATATGAAATGACCCGAGAAATCATAATGAGATCAATTTTCAAAAATTCAGCAAGAATAAAACTGACTGTATGATTTTTCGAGTCATATCATATGGACATCATGATTCTATATTACATGACTTAAAATTTAATCATATATACTTTTATAGATTTAAACATTATTAGGCAATTATCACAAGTAACATGTAATCATTATATATGATGATCGGATCGAAAATTATATTGTGTTTTTACTGCTATTTTATTGAACATATATTTTCGATAATGCTAGTAAAATCAATTGAGCGTAATTGATTAATAAGAAATGTGACGATGATTTCTGGAACTGTAATATTTCACAACCAAAACGTTTTTGTACAAGTACATATTTTAGCCTCTCGTACTGTGAGCTCACCGTAACAGGGTAAGGTAAACATTTTTTCTGTTTTTATTTATACAGGGTTTGTCCGGAAAGCAATAGGACTCATTTTCTTCCGCCATGACTGTACTTCGGAGCGTGCGCGCACCGACTGGATTCGGTAGAAGGCGTTCCTAGCTAACGAATGAGCGGCTGGTCAGTTGTCTCCGAGCACTTGGAGAGTCAGGACAGGCATTTTCGCGCGACGTGTTTCTGTGAGTGGTGCAAGCCGAAAATGCAGCGTTCGTTAGAGCAGAAGTACGCGATTAAATTATGTGTGAAACTCGATAAATCTGCGACAGAGACGTTTGATATGATCAAACAGGATTACCCAGGTGTTGCTTTAGCAAGAAGTGGTGTGTTTCGGTGGCACCAGGCCTTTTTGGAGGGCCGGGAAGAGGTCGCTGATGAAGACCGTGCTGGAAGACCTTCGACAAACACCGATAATGTGACTCGTGTACGCAAAGTTTTGAACTCAGACCGTCGACTAAGTATTCGTTTAATTGCCCAGATGTTAAATTTACCAAAATCTGTGGTTCATGACATTGGGACACAGCATTTGAACATGCGCAAGGTGTGCGCGAAGATGGTCCCAAAAGTGCTCACTGACGACCAGAAATTGCGGCGAGTGGAAGTGTGCCAAGAAAATTTAAACATGTGTGAAAATGACCCCCAATTTTTGAATAACGTAATCACAGGTGACGAGTCGTGGATCTTTGAGTATGATCCCAAGACAAAGAGGCAATCTTCCGAGTGGCACACGACGGCGTCTCCTCGCCCAAAAAAGGGAAGAATGAGCAAATCCAAAGTGAAAAAGATGCTCATTGTCTTTTTTGACATCAAAGGCATCCTCCTGGACAAATCGTCAACGCCAAGTTTCACGGGGAAGTGCTCAGGAGACTCAAACGAAAGGTCAGTCGAGTCCGACAAGACATCGCAGCCGACCAGAAGTTGCACCACGACAACGCCCCGGCTCTCACCGCCTTTCTTGTGAACAGCTACCTGACCAAGGGCGGCATCCCAACGCTTCCGCAGCCGCCCTACAGCCCAGATGTCCCCCCCCCCCGGACTTTTTTTGTTTCCTCGCCTGAAAAGGCCGATGAAAGGCAAGCATTTTGAGACGACAGAGGGGATCCAAGCAGCATGCACCGCGGCTCTCAAGGCTATTCCGGAGAATGCCTTCCGTGCATCGACGCAGACGGAGCCTATTTTGAAAGTTTTTAAAGAATTGTAACGATTGGCTCAATAAATTTTTTTATATCGACTCAGTCCTATTTCGTTCCGGACAAACCCTGTATGTAGGCACCTGTTGTGCCCATGGGGTGAGAACGGAATAGTTCAACACTTAAGATACCATTCGTATTCCTTTGAATGTCTCTCGAGCTTTTTTTCATATCTGATCTTTGCATTTTTTTCACCTTGCATACAAACTCCAGCAGCACTTCCATGGTTGTAGTTCTAAAGCGACCGGCAGCGTCGGTCGTGACGCCGGCGCCGCGACGCGTCGATATAGGCTTAGGAGAGGACACGGACATGGCACTACGGATTTATATCGGATGCTACAGGGGCTATAGAAGTTCATGCTTCACGCACCGCAGGAAATGTCATACGAACGCACATCGCTAAATGTTGGTTGGCAGTGCCGCTTAGGTAAAGAGCACTGGGGATGGCTGCCATCGCCTAAATTACCAACGATGGGCAAAAGCTTCACAAAATGATAACATCAGCATAAACTTAAAACATAAATGAAATGACCAAGTCATTACTAATAAAATTATACTCTTCTGTTTTTGAAGTGACCTCTGGCAACAAAAATAATTAGGAACACTTTTATTCTTGGCAATACATATCACAGGAAAAATTATCAGATGATTATAGAACGGAGGTCGAACAGAATTTCTGAGGAAGAAACTGGAAATAAGCTCATTTCATTCCTCATTCAGAAATAACCATAAAGTAAACTTACCTGATAACTATGGAGGGTCAAGCATGATCTACAAAGTCGAACCTCGACTACTAAGCCCTGCAATGACATGATGTCATTAGTACTCCCACGCACGACATTATGTGCCAATGTCTTGTAACAGACAGAAGTAAGGAATTGATACGTTCGTATATAGTAAAACATGTTATTTGTTGCTCGTCTTGTTGCAACTAAATACGAAATGTTCAACAGGTAAGTAAGTGTCTCTGCTATAATACGGGTCGAATACTTGATGGCGAGATCGATCGCCAGATGCACGAGCTGACTGACGGTATGGAATGCTCAGATGTTACCGCGTTAATCATTTGCCACAGTTTCATTTCTTCACCGGGTTGGTATCTGGGCCAGATCAAATCAAATCGTCGCACCAGGTTATCTGTCTGCGTACGCGCACTGCGATGGCGTCGCCTGGCTGGTTGTACAGGGTGGTGCGAATTGTACCGGGATGATGCGACCCGTTGCACTGGGGTGTACAACAAT